TCCATAGCTTGCTTACTTTCCCTTTTTCGTTGTTTCTTTACTTTTGAACATGAAGGTGCTTTTTCAGAAGGCTATTTGTTATGCTGGTTGATGCAACAAAATGCAAACACAGTTAATTTCCTGTGGCTTTCTCTTGCTCACTTCATTTCAGGATCAAATATTCACTAACTGCAGTGACTGGAAGGGGCTTGAATACCACTTTACTGACCCCTACCTATAATTTAGCATATTTTTCTGTCCCATCCAATAGTAAATGAGATATTTTATTGAAACACTAGGCCGTATTCCTCTTTATTTTGGATTTTACTATGTCACCCCCCTTCAGTCTGTCTTAATGCATGTGTGACAGCATGAAATTTGTTCTGAATCCATGCAGTCCAAAATCGTGTTGGTCATGCGGTTGCAACAAAACAGACAGGAACAATGCCAAAGCTTAACAAGGCTTTAAAAACAGTCACTTCAGTGTTTTAGACTGCTGCACCACTTATGGTAGTTGTAATAATTTTTAAAGCCTTACAGGTTTAGATACGACAACATTAAAAATATGGACTCAAAGAAATATGCAAACTAGGGAGGGAAAAAAAACTAAGAATATTTGAATACAAAATATGCAAATTGATAGTTTTCTCGCTGTATTTTCATATTGAGTGTATTCATTGAGGGAAATCTGATGCTAACAAGTCAGAGCCTGTCCTCAGAAAATAAACCCTTAGCTCAATTATGTCTTCCTTACACACCCAATGCTCCTGTTAAAACAGCAACAGGGAGCAAACTCAAATTCAGAACTAAGTCCCTAATCTATGCTTTTATTTTCACATGAAGTTGTTTTTCTAAAACAGGAGACAAAGTCCTTAATGAGACACAAACAGCATAAAAGTTAAAGTTGTTTTTAAGTGGCAGAAAATAAAACCGAAATGAAACAAAACTGCCCTACATCCAAATTCCTTTTTGAAAACAAATCTGATGTTAATACTGTATCATAGCAGCAGTTGCTTCTTTCGCCCAGAGGTCCCTGACCACTGTCATACACAAATCCACCCATCCTTTTGAGCTTTTTCCTGTGTATAATTCTTTTGCTGGGGGGACAGTCTAGAGGACTAATAGGTCTTTTCCATATTAAACATCTATTAAAGAGACCACACAGCTTTTGTGGAGATCTGCAGACAGGTAACAGTTATTAGCAGGCTTATGCAGAAGGAAAGAAAGAGGCAACAGAAAAGCATCATGGCGAACATTTGGGATCCTTGCCAGGGTGTGGTCAGTCTGTTCCCTTGAGCTGAATACAAGTTCGCAAAGAGAACAGCACAGGCTCTGGGGTGGAAAATGCCAGTCCCTCCCATCTTCGCTCCTGGGAGAGAATTCCAACCTCTCCAAACAGCTCTTTCACACCAGCCACTCAAATGTGACAGGCCAGGAGATGTTTGCCTGGGACTTCAGTCCACAAGACACCCAAGTTTCTCTTTAACAGCTGGTTTGTGTTACTGACAAGAAGTATTGCAATCTCTTAGCAATGTTGTTGTAGATATGTTGCTCCCAGGACATGAGAGAGACAAGGTAGGTGAGGTAATATCTTTTATTGGACCAACTTCTGTTTTGGAAGCGTCAAGCTTTCAAGCTTCACAGAGCACTTCTTCTGATCTGGGTAACCAGAGTGTCTGAGCTAACCTCAGGCAAGACTGTTAGGCATAAGAGTTTCACGCATGCTGTAGAAGACCACTTAAAATAAAGTGGGCAACTAACGGTGAGCAGGCAGCAGGATATGTTACAAATTTTTGTAATGAACCATAAAACCAGTGTCTCTGCTTAGTCCATGGTTTTTAGTATCTAGCACAATTCTAGTGTCAATGAATTTCAGTTCGCAAACTTGTCTTTTGAAGGTGTTGTGCAGGTTTCCTTTGAGGATGAGGATTGAGAGGTCAGATATGGAGTGCCCCATATGCTTATCGATCTAACCCTCAATTGCCCACTTCAGTTTAAACTACATGGTCTCCCTGCACCATGTGTGAACGCCTTATGCTTAACCATTTGTCCCAGCTTGTAGTTAGCTTATTCACAATCCCCAGACCTGAAGAAGAGCGGTGCGAAGCTCACAAACTTGTTCCTTCCATCAATAGAAGTTGGTCCAATAAAAGATATTACCTCACCTATCTTCTCTCTCTGTTCTCTTGGCAATACATTTACTGATGTTAAATGTGATTTTTTTTCTTTGCTAAATAAGGGACTTAGACCTGATTCTCCTATTATTTACACCAGCTTTACAGCAGGTTAGCGCCACTGATTTACACTGGGGTCAACTAGGGGTTGGTTCATGTAAGTGAGAGGAGAGTCAGGTCCATTGCATCCTTAGAAGAGAGATTTAGGACACAACACCCTTCTGTACAAAAGTACCTCTGTGAGTGATGGAACTGCACAGGCTGAATTTCCTTCTGCAGTCACTCACAAAAATGGGCCTACATTGTTTGGTTTGCTTTTGTGACCAATAATGCATTTTGGAACCTGGTATTAAAGAAGGGCCCAGGCCAAAACCTCCATTTTGAAGGTTCCTTAACTTTTCAGAGGATTTGATTTGGCAAATATTTCCTCTTAAGCCACCGCCTTGTCCTCCTTCAAATCCCTCAAGACTAACCTTTACCATGATGCCTTAAAACCTTAGCGCCAACCCTACTCCATATTTAAAGGTTTAAAATCTAAATTCTGTATCTCAAACCCATCTTTTGGTATCTGATCCCTATGAGGTTGTACTATTTTAAATTTCAATGAAATATCTTAAATTCTTTTTAGAAACCTAGGTACTGCATCTCTCTTAATATATCTGGCACATGGTCAGCTTTTTAGTTGCTTTTGAGGTGGGAAAGACCGTGGGCTGCAAATGCCCTATACGTGCCATGATCTCTTCCTCCTCTGTCTTTAAAATATTAACTTACAGCATCAAGAGAATAATAAGCAACAAGGTGGGGTCTTTCCTAAGGGAATGGGCTGTAGATTAATTAAGCCTGCCCAATCTTTAAATCTAGTACTAGCCTGATTAAAAAAAAAATCTAGCTATATATGAAAGTGGACTATATAATTAACATATTTAACAGGATAAAAGGTAAATTTACACTTCAGCATTTAACTAGCTGAAGTCAAATGGGATTTTCCGGAAACAAAATTTTAACGACTCTTTTTAGAAGTAAAAGGCATGTCCTGTATTTGGTTAAAATTCATGTTGTGTACAATCCATATCATTGCTTAAAAAGGAGAAAATATGCAAACCGTTGGTTCATACCACTGAAAGGCTGACAAACAGAAAGCTGAGTTTTACAACTCTATTAAAAACAGATTGCTGAATATGCTGGGATCAACCTAAAAATCAAAGTTGGCATTTTGTCGAGGGCCACAAGAACTATTAATATTCTAAGTATTCTACTTCCTTGATCAAAATGGGCAGGTTACTTTTTCCCAGTTATGACCTCAAAGAGTTAAGGATTGCATTATGTGCTCTCTCTGAAAGTTTCCACTAGCTCCTCTTGTGCTGCAATGAAAGCATAACAGCAGCAATGGATTCCTTCCCCTTCCTGTGGAAAAGCGAATATAAACTGGTTGGTGAAATGCAAAGTTTTCTGTGCATGCTTTCTTAAGAACTGTTGCATGCATATAAGTTACAAACTGTACATGCTAAAATACACAAACATATTGGCCATGAATGTGTTCCCACGCTGCGTTGGTGCTAGTAATTCTTAAGTGGAAAATGTGTGTATGCATGATAATGTAGTGCTATTACAGAATGGTAACGAATCTGTGACTTGTGTTATGTGTGGCACTGGTGGCATTGAGATGCAAAATGTATCTATAAAGAGCACCCTACTTTCATGGGTGAGTGAATCAGAGTGTTCTTGCTAGTTAAGTACCAATAGTAGTTGATAGAGAATATATACTGCCAGGGAGAAGTGCATGTGTTTTATAAGGGAAGTGAGCATAGATCACCACAGCACTGGTCTGGAAAGTATTTGTATCCATGTAAAAAGGACATGTGTTCTACACAGATGATGAATTTGAGCATTCTCTGCATGTGGCCCTAGGAAGATTGAGAGGAACAGTGTATTTCCACGAGAAAGCCAAGTGTCTCCTGTGAGCCATCATTAGCAGCACTGACCTGGCACATGCATGTGGTTCCAAGGGAAATTGCATAGGTTACACACATTTAATTCAGTAGGATGTTCTCCTGGAGGCAGCACCTGCAGCTCTTACATGTCTGGCAAAGGCATGGTTGGGGTGAAGCCCGTGCATTGCACAAGGGTGAGGAAGTGGGGTGTGTCCACGCCTGGCATAGAGCTGACAAGTTTTGTGCAGCTCCGTGTGCCACATTGCTCACCAGGGAGTGAAGGGAACTAATCTCCTCTGCATACTGTGAGCAGTGGGAAGAGACCACACCTTCTCAGCGACCCAAGGGTAGATGAAGGCTAGGGTGACCAGATTTTATAGGGCAGTCCTGATTTTTGGGGCTCTTTCTTATATAGGCACCTATTATCCCCACCCCCTGTTCCGATTTTTCACACTTGCGGTCTGGTCACCCTGATGAAGGCACTGGGCTCTCCACAAGCCCTGGCCGGAGTGGCTATGGGAGAAAGAGCGGAGGTGGCGCTGCAGGGGGCCAGGTGGCCGAGCACTGGAGAGAGGGCACCTCCAACCACCTGCCCCTTGCAATGGGTCTGCTCCCAAGGACAGGGCAAGAGTAGGGTGACCAGATGTCCCAATTTTATAGGGACAGTCCTGATATTTGGGGCTTTGTCTTATATAGGCACCTATTACCGCCCATCCCCTGTCTTGATTTTTCACACTTGCTGTCTGGTCACCTTAGGCAAGAAGTAGAAGGAGGAAGGCACCATCCACCACCTGGGGGGGAAGGGGGTGGATGAATAAAGGGGCCAAGTGCCTGGTAGTTCAGGAGAGCAGCGGGTGGGGAGCAGTAGGGTCCAGCCTGCCCCGCAGACCAGGGGCGGCGGCAGCAGCGGACTGACCTGGAAAATGAGCACTTTGAAGTGGTTGCGGCGCAGCAGCTGCGCGTGGTTGTTCTCCAGCCGCTTGACCTGCGCGCACTGGCGCTCCATGCGCTCCCGCACCTCGCGGGTGTGCGCGCTGACCTTGCGCGACTTCTCCAGCAGCTTGCTGACCGCGTTGCTGGTGGAGGTGTGGTGCTTGCACAGCTTGCTCAGGTCGCCCTGGATGCCCTTCACTGAGCCCTCCAGCTCGATCTGCCGCTGCTCCATCTTGAGCTGCTTCTCCTGCACCGAGTCCAGCATGTTCACCAGCTTGTCCAGCAGGGTGAGCACGGTGATGGCGTTCACCTGCGAGCCGTCCCGGATCGCCTCTCCCGGCGCTGCAGGCAGCGGGCTGGGGCTGCCCGAGGGCTCCGGGCTGGGGCTCTGCTCCAGCTGCTCCTCGGGGCTCGGCGGAGCGTGGGCGCCGCTCCGCTCGGCCTGCACCCCATCCTCTCCCATGGCGGGGAGCACAGCAAGGGCTCCTGGTGGCCTCCTCTGCAGCGCTCCTGGTGCGCTCCTGGCTGGATCCCGCTGGGACCCGCAGGCAGCCGCCGCTGGACACGAGCTGCCCAACGAGCTCCCAGCCTCTCTTAAAGGCTCCCACTCCCCACCCAGTGGGAGGCGAAAGTCCGCCAACTCCGGGCTGCGCTCAACTTCGTGCGACACACACACGCTGCCTAGTCCCCTCCCCAGCGAGGAAACCAATCCCGGAGCCGTGTGTGTGTGTGTGTGTGTTGGGGAGGGGGGTGCCTTCGCCGGGAGCAGGATTGGGCCCGCCAGCTTTCCCCCTGCTGCTGCAGGTTTAACTCGCCCCCCCCCCCCTTTAAGGGGAATGTCATATTTCAACCATGACTTCATGCAAGGCGGAGAAAACCTGCCCCGTGGCCCAGTTCCATCGCCAGCCGTTGGCTGCAGCCTGTAAACTTCTACCGCCTGCTCTGCGACGGGTGCAACACAAGAGCTTGTGTTTTCCTCTCCCCACCCGCCCTTTTTCCTGGATACCGAGTGATTTTAATGGAAAGTATTGTTTGCCTTTGTTCTGGGCTGGCTGATGGGTTTCAGCTTGAACCGAGAAAGGCAGGGGAACAAAGTTTAAGGCACCTCTAGTTATCTTTTTTAAAAGAGAAATATCTCAATGGGTTTATGAAAGCCACCAACGGGTTGGGGGGTAATAAGTAAATAAAATCCAACCACACCCGTTGCCTGAAGCTCCAGGCAATGAAAGGAGCCAGGATCAGGCCCTTAACAATACAATTGCTATGCATCAGAAGAAGTGGGCTATAGTCCACGAAAGCTTATGCTCTAATAAATTTGTTAGTCTCTAAGGTGCCACAAGTACTCCTGTTCTTCTTTTTGCGGATACAGACTAACACGGCTGCTACTCTGAAAATTGCTATTGAGTTCTCTGAGTTACAACTGAGATAAACGAAGCTCTGCTGTGTGAAAAATATTTCAAGTGTAACGCAGAGAACTTTTTAATAATCTCATTTCTATCATTTTAAAAAAACACTTTAAAAAACTTTTTGGGTCAGACATTTAAAGATGGCTTCTAATGCTGCATCTGCATTTTTGGGTCCACACCTGCAGAAAAAAATGGTTGGATTTAACCATGTACCTATTTGATTGTGCTCCCAAAGCAAGTAGTTAAATGTCCTATCTTTTGTGCCCACAGTTAATTGGAAGGGCAAAATGAGAGGCTGTCTTGAAGGCTTTAAAAAAATATAGGGGCCTTGATCTTGCAACTGAATGCAGGCGAGTAGCTCCCTGCGCCCTCCTGCAGCCCCACAGAAGTCAAAAGGCCTCTGCATCAGCTCAAGGGTCCGCATATATGGACCGTGGAGCCTTACGTACATACTTAGCTTTATGCATGTTAACTCAGTGGGGCTGCTCTAGCGTGAAAGTGTTTTCAGGAGTTGAGCTTTATGTGAATTTAATGTTTATGAAAGGTGCTGGCTTGACTGCCCTGGAGGTCTTCTGCGTACCCTCGGGAGAGCCACACCCTGGAGAGTCACAGTGCAAACTTCTTCCCACTGTACCTCAAATGTATCTCCAGCCTGACCTGGACAGAATGCCTGTAGGGGTGTCTAAGCTATACTGTGCAGTTGAAACTGACATTGTGCCCTCTCATTAACGTTAACGGAAATCACTTAGCTAAAATCCTGTAGAGGGCTTTGGAAATATGTACTGTTCTGATGGATATATTTTCAAACATAAGTGATCAAGGTAAAAAAACGTTGAAAGTCACCTATTTTACATACAAATCTGTGATCTTCACAATAATGTTTAATATCAATTAAATGTCATGATATAATATACACACAATGTGGATAAAATGCAAACATTTGTTGATTTCACTGGGACGTACTATAATTTTCATTATAATGGATTTGGATAGTTTTGGTTTTAACCTTGTATTCATATAGGATTTTGCAATAACCTAGTAAAATACCTTTACAAGAACCAACACACTGATAACAGAAGTATTTACATTGTTTAAAAGGACTCACACAGACATAATATGGTATGGAAAGATTTTCTTACTGTTTTTTCCCTCATTTTAAATGTTTATACTAGTGTCAAAAGGCAAGAAGACATTAAATAAAAACCATTTTAAGTTAACTAAGAGCTAAATTTTGCTTATTTGGAGCTGTGTGAGGATCATAGAAGAATCATAGCAGACTGGGGTTGGAAGAGTCCTCAGGAGATAATCTAGTCCAATCCCCTGCTCAAAGCAGGACTAACACCAATTAAATCATCCCAGCCAGGGCTCTGTCAAGCCGGGCCTTAAAAACCTCTAAGGATGGAGATTCCACCAGCTCCCTAGGCAACCCATTCCAGTGATTCACCACCCTCCTAGTGAAATAGTGTTTCCTAATATCCAACCTAGACCTCCCACACTGCAACTGGAGACCATTGCTCCTTGTTCTGTCATCTGCCACCACTGAGAACAGCTAAGCTGCATCCTCTTTGGAACCTCCCTTCAGGTAGTTGAAGGCTGCTATCAAATCCCCCCTCACTCTTCTCCAGGGGCGGGGAGTTGTATGGGCCCGTGGTGCCTGTGCTCCAGGAATATTCAGAGCACGGGGACCCAGCTCCACCAATATTCGGAGCCTGGTCTCTCCCCTGGCCATGCCTGCTGCCCCTGCGCGTCTCCCCTGGAGCATTTCCTGGCCCCGCCTGCCGCCCGCAGGAGATTTAAAAGGGTCTGGGGGCCCCTGCCACCACCACTGGCAGCGCAGCGGGGCTAAAGCAGCTTCCTGCCCGCCCTCTGTGTGGCGCATCACTCCCAGAAGCGGCCGGCACGTCCCTGCGGCCCCTGGGGTGTGTGTGTGTCTGCTCGCTGCCCCTGCCCAGAGACTCTGCCATTGGAACTGTGGCCATTGGAAGCTGCAGGCAGTGGCAGGCGGAGGCCCCCGGACCCCCTGCCTAGGAGCCGCTGCCAGAGGGTTGTGCGGGTTGCCTTTGGGAGCCGCCCAAGGTAAGCGCTGCACCCCTCACCCCCTTCCGCACCCCAACCCCCTGCCCCAGCCCAGAGCCCACAGCCAGCACTCAAACTGTAGAACTGATGAATGAAATTGTTTTTAATTGTTCACTTTATTAATGTAACTTCATAAGTAAAGTTTTATGAA